GTTCTGTCAGTGTTCTGTCTTACCCGCAGTACAATGGGCATGGTCATATAATTTTTTTGTGGGAAATTGAATAGATACAATAGTTTTCATTTGCATTTCTGATTACTAATGAGGGCTAATATTTCCCTATGTTTTAAAGGTTTTATGATACAGACTTTTGAATAATTCCCAAAGTTGACAAAATACCTTACTGAATTCCCACACATAGCCAATTTCTAGCTCCGCAGTTCAGCCCAGAGTCCTCCAGCCTCCACGGCCCATCTTCTCTCAGTTCCTTTGTTCTCTAAAGAATCCCATCTTCACTCTTTCTAAAAGACAAGAACTCTATCAAAAGTCCACAATATAATTATCATATTTTAATAATTAAAAATAAATCCTTAGTATCATCATATATCTGGTTGATATTTAAATTCCAATTATTTCATACTTATCAGAGTTTTTTTGAACATAAAAAGGTAAGATCTAAAATCTTTTTTAAAATTTGTTTTTTAGTTTTGAGGTCCAGATCTTGAGATTTATAAATCATGTTTTTTAGTTTACCATATATCCTTTAACCCTTTAATCTGTGGTTGTTCTCTTTCTCTGGCAAAGAAGATAGAATGTCACACCCATGATCAGTATCTATGAGTCCAACTCACTGGTGGCCTCACTCTCTTACTGTTGTTGGATTTGAAAGAGAAGGTGCCAGGAAGGAAGTGCTCTCGTTGGAAAAGCCCATGTGGTCAGAAGGCCCTCCAGGGCTGCAGGTAGACTCCAAGAAGACACTGAAATCCTCAGCCTAGCAACTACAAGGAAATACTTTTCAAGAGGCAGCCTAGAACGAGATCTTTCTTCATCAGAACCTCTGATGAGATTGCAGCTGCAGTAGACTGCTGGATAGCAGGCTGGGGAGGCCCTGAAGCAGAGAAGCCAGCCAAGCTGTGTGCAGATGTGTGTCCTGCAGAAACAGAAATACTAGGTGTATGTTGTCTAAAGCTGCTAGATTTGTGGTCGTAAAGCAGGCTAGAAAATGAATACAGTAAATATTTCCTAAGCCTGTGCTCCATTGATTGCAAGAATAAATTGATAGGATTATATCCAAAAGATGAGAAGTATAAAACAAAAGAGGCCTTTATTCTGAGAACATGGAGAGAGAAAACCAACACCCCCCACCCACCCCACTCCCCCCCCACCTCACCCCCCACCGCTAGAGTCCGGCTTTCTCTCTGGCAGACATGTGCCGTGGGGGGGGGTATATAAGTAGCCTAAGCTTAGGGTAGTGCCCTAAGGCCATTAGAGATGCACAGGTATCTCTCTGGTACATGTTTGGCGCCAGGGGCAGATTCCTAAGGATGGGGGGAGATAGAGTCACAGGTAAATCCCTAGGAGCGGGGGAGATAGGAGCTCCCTGGTTTGGGTTGAGGCTTTTCTGGCTACAGAGTCCTGTCTGGGCCAAAACCCTTTCATAAATAAGACTAGTTAAAAACTAGTTAGATTCTGCTTTTAGCTGTGTCTTCCAACAGATAGTTGAACTGTGCCACCTCTTGCTTCTGAGCTGGTTTGATGACCCACATTAGAACTGATTGAATTAGCCAGGCTCCTTCCAGTCAGGCTGAATGTGGAATAAAGCAATAGCCGGCACCTCCACCTGCTTCTCCAATGCGCTCCTCTGTTTGCTGCCACTGAGCTTTGACAGTTTCCAGAGAGGTGAGCACCTTCATGAGAGCACCTATCCAAGGATGTGGACCTTTTCAGTAGACCTGGAAGTCTCTTTTTAACACTGTGCATATGATCTTTGGGGTCGCTCTGCACTGTCTTCACCCTGTGAACATTCCTGTCTGTGGGGTAATTTACCTTCTATACATGAAGTTTCCCCAGTCTGACTCCTGTATGATTGTAAATTGCTTCCAACAAAAATAGTTGGAACAGAAGTGTCCAGCCTTGAGCTGACCCTGGCAGTCACAGTACAGACCAAGCCACCCTGGGAGGCCTCCTGGCTCTGGCATCCTGCAAGAACATTGCTTATCTTTGTTCCTGAGGCCCAGGGCTTCCCAAACCCTCTCCACTTTCCCTAGCCTCGCCTAGGAATTTGCAAACAATCATTGTCAGAATATACCATTTAATCTGTTTTCATTTTTTAGTGTAAAAAGAGGAGGTAAAGACTAGCAGTGAGACTGTCAATGAATAATGAAAGAATTCCTCACAGCTGTTCAGGGATATATATTTTTTCTGCAGTAGAGCGAGACGGATTCCCATCACAGCTCAGGACATGTTTCGTGAAGCCCCTCATCTGTCATGCTCTGAGGGGGAAGGAGACGCTGAAGTGTCATTATGGATGTAACTGGGCTCAGAAGTAACTGGTCAAGGTTGACACCGCAGTCCTCAACTAGCTGTTTGTGGAAATTTTCCTGGGTGGCTGGATGCCCTGCCAGCTCATGAGCGGGTACTCCAAACAGTCCAGTTCCTTTCTGATCTGACAACCCTGAGGCTGAAGTAAGCCCTGTTCACAGTAGCACCCCAAGGAAAATATACTTTTACCTGTTCCAAACCAGATGAACTGGAAATCAGAGCAAGCATTTTTCTCAGTTTTCGCAATCTGCCTGAACCTAGGCACTTTGAATTAGCTATATTTTCCTGTCCTGATGACCCTGTCCCAATTGTCCAGAACTCTAAGCAGAGCAGAGTCAGGGTGGCCTCTTCCTAGGCTGAAGCACGGCAGGGAGGCATGTTTGGTCCTAGGATGCCTGCACCAGGCTTGCCAACCCCACGTGGATACTGACACAGTCCCAAAGTTAGAGGAACAGAAATCAGCCCATCTCAAAAAGGCCAGATGGCTAAGCTGTAGGGTTTGTTTTCTCTCTACTCCTTCCCCAAATCTCAGAAACAATCTGTGCTACGAGCTTTTCAGCCACTAATAGATATGCACCCCCTTCTCTAGGCCAGAGACAGAGCAGCCTGATATGCTCAGGGCCTCATGGGAGGCTCTGGGAGGGACCCTCTACCCCACTTGACAAAAGGACTTTTTGACTTTTCTTTTTTCTTTGACTGCTGGAGATTGAGTCCTTGGTATCCACATGAGACAAGTGCTCTATCACTGAGCTACACACCCATCTGTTTTAATTTTGAGAAGGAGCCTCACCAAGTTGCCCAGGCTGGCCTCAAATTTACCATCCACCTGCCTCAGCTTTCCAAGTAGTGAGATTATAGGTTTTCTCCCAGATTCTCAGTTTGGGGAAAGAATCACCCCCCACCCTTTTAATGTATCAACATCCTCAGCCTTATCCTTAAAAGGATTTGTCTGACAAAAATATAAGCAGAATAGCAAGGTAGCCAGAGAAGAAAATCAGGCAGGAGAAATAAAGGCAAGAAACATCAGACAAAGCCACATGAAGCTCTTAGACCAAAGGCTGATTGATGTGCCCTTGCTAATTTTGTTCTAAGTTTTCTGGAAGAAGGGAATATAATCAACAATTCCCTTCACAGTGTCCATGAGATAAAAGCAAACTAGTTGTTTGGGAGAAAGTTCTGAAGGACCAAACACATCTCTGTTAAGATGTTTGTTCTTTTAAAGATGTGAAAAACACTCTCAGTAACAATGAGTTTTATGGGGCATAAAATTATTTTAAAATTTTAACTTTCTTATTAAGTCTACTGTGAAAATCACTGGTGTCTGAATTCCGTGGTTATCTTTAGAAAGAACTGATGTCTAGTAAACCCAGTTTCAGACTACACTGCTTTCAAATAGTTTTTTTTCCTCTCTTCTTTTTCCTTTTCCTCTTCTCCTCATCCTTCTTGTTAACAGACATTTTCTTCTCTCTGGAGCAAGGGAACCCGGGCTCTGGTGCTGGCTCTGTGAGCAGCTGTCTGTGTTACCATGCACTCGGTGTCCCTGTTTCTCAGTGTGACTTCTTTGGTGGTTAGTTTTGCATGAACAAGAATAAATGCAATGTGCAGCCCAGCTACTTTACCAAGCTATTATTATGTGACGTACAGTGAGCTGGGGGAAGACTTTCCTAAAGCACTGGTTCTCAAGCTTGGACACATAGCAGAATTTCTTTAATAAGCCAATAAAATGCAGATTTCTGTGTAGATTTGGGGTAGGTCTTAGAGACCATTTCTAACAAGTGCGTAGGTGGTGCCAGTGCTGTTGGTCTGGGGAATCACACTTGAGAACAACTGCTTAAAAAAATGTCCTTTAATTTTCCACTAACCCATCTTTGGTTGGATTAGTGTGGCCCACTTGAGAATTTCCATCTTATGTCTTCATTCTGAGCCAGTAAAAAAAATAGCTTTTGCCTTTTGGGTTTATTCTGAACCCAAACTAGAAGTCTGTCTGGGCAAGGTTTAAAGCAACTCACATTGGAGTCCCAAGGAAGCAAATATTTAGGTTTGTGGTTGTGCACATTCAGTACTGACCAGTACTGCATTGTCTCCCAGCTCACACTTGGGACAAACACTAAGGGTTGAGATCAGTAAGGCATTGCCTCTCAGAAAATGGTCTGAAAATTTGAGAGAAACACTGTCTAAGTGTAGCAAATACAGGCATGTTATTGTAGACCGGCCAAAGAGTTAATTTGCTGGATCAAACCTTTCCCAACCCTGTCATCTAAAGCATAAAGTTCTTGCTTGAAAGCATTCATTTGGGACAGAGCCACTGCCACCTACCAAAGAAGGCTTAAGGATGACAAGGAACAAGTAAAGATAAAAAGTTCAATGCTGCATAGTACACATTCCCAGGACTGCTCGGCCACCTCACTGTTTTGACTTCTGGGGCCCAACTGCAGGGATAAGGTAAGTCAAGAGCAGGGAATCAGGACACCTGCTTGAAAGTATATCCACAAATTCTTCAGTTCCCTCCCTTTCATAGATAGAGCTTAATTCTTATCCCTTCAGTATATTCTTTACCTTGTGATTCTCTGGTAATGAACAAAATATAGTAGATGTAATATTTTACCTAAACCCGAGCGCTTCTGCAGGGAAGTTTGACAGGCTTTGTGTTTTCCCCCTTCCCGGCTTCCTAGGATCACTCACTCTGGGAGACACTGGTCACCACCTTGTGAGGATGCTCAAGAATCTCCCTGGAGAGATGGTAGTGGGAAGCTGCAGGCTGTGAGTGTCAACTGTCCTGTGAGTGATGCCCTTCCAGCGTGGACTCTCCAGCTCTAGTCACACCTTCGATCTTAGGAAATATATTGACTTTGATATTGTCATGGTTTATGTCTGTGGCCCCCAGGCCTCATGAGTTTGCATTGTGCATTTGTGATTGGTTCATTGTTTAATGCTTGGGTTGATGGTGTCAGGGCTCCACCCACATAGGGGTGGAGCCAGGATGTGATGTAATGGCAGGAAGAAGGTGTGTCTTGCACTTTGCTGGTTCCTGCTTGCTGTTTGTAGCCGCCATGAACTGCGGCCCAGCCATGCCCGCCTGTCTTGGAGCCAACTAAGTGTGGACTGAAATCTCCAAAAACTGTAAGAAAGAAATAAACCTTTCCTTTCCCAACTTTGGGCTTCAGATATTTTGTCTCAGCGACGAGTAAAAGTAACTAAGACAGACATCATGAAAAATTATGAGACTGAGTTGCCAGGTAAGCCACTGCCAAATTCATCAACTAGAGAAACTGTGAGATAATAAAAGTTTGTTGTATAAGTTTAGGGGTAACTGGTCACACAATAATAGAAAACCACTTTACTACTGCCAAGACTCTGACCATGAGACATTTCTTTCTAAGAAACTTTTGGTGATATTTTCTTACCTCAATAAAAGTGCTCACTTCTCAGTTAGGTGACTACAAACTTCCCACATCATCTCCCACAACTTCCCTAAACAGATCTAATGACTATTTTCTGTACCTTAAACACCCCTCAGACTTTCACATCTCGTCCACCAGTTTGAAATTGTTTCCCTGGCAACAGCTCCCAGATCTACCTTTTAAAATCCTTGTATCCTCTAGTCCCAACACCCAAAGCCATATTCTTCATGAAATCATCCTTTGAGTCTGTCTACCAGATGTTCCCCTGTTCACTGACACCCGTCCTGTGTTCTGTCTCCTTTGATTTCCAATCCAATGACTATTTCCCTTGGTTCCTGCTAGCAAAGACCTGGTTTGGTTTCAGTAGTTCCCCATTATTTTTATTGAGAGAAAGTCCCGATTAGATGAAATCATTCATAGTGGCCACAGTCCCCTTGGCAATGACTGTTGCAAGACTGGCCATGTGGTACGGTTCTGGCTAATAAACTCTGAGGAAATAGCTGCTAGATAAACAGCATAGCATTCTGGGAAAAACTGTTGAAAAGATCATGTGGAAGAAACGATTCTGCTTAGTATTACTTGGGTGGATATGATTTCTAGAACCATGGTTTTTATCGTATAAACACAGAGAGAAAGGATGGATGGATAAGTACAAGATAGTAAGAACTGGGTTCCTTTATGATTTTGTCAGAACATGAATTAACAAGTTTTATGATTAGTTTACCACTGGACCTCATATTTTTTTCTTTTAAAGATCGTAAAATCCAACAGAACAAATCTAATTTTTTTATTAATTTAAATTATTTTATTTGTTAATATTAAGAAGAAAAGGTAAAACAAAATTTCACAACAAAATAATGAAAAAGTAACAATTATTGATAAATTACACATCATTATCTTTAGTCACTCAAGTACAAAATATGGGCATAAAATTTTCTTCAATCAATATTAGCACAACCTTTCCTATTCAGTGAACTAAGTGACACTAATGGTATAACTAACTTGCATTTTTTTCTTTTCCCTTCTATCCTTTCTCTTTTCCCCTATCTTAGTTTCTTCTTTTTATTGAACAGTTTCCTCCCATTTCACAATGACTATTGTATATTTTGAACCTTAGGGTTTCACATATGTCACTGTGGTGTGATGTTTTTCAATCCTTCTGGGAAGATACACAGAAGGGGAATACCTGGGTTGAATGGGACCTCTAATCCTAATTCCTTAAAAAATTAGAACAAATCTAATTTTAAAAAAGCAGCAATACTGGTACAGAACTTCAAAGCAGGATACTAGGAAAGCAGCAATAGCTACCATAATATATCTTGTTGTCTTCACAATAGTTGCCCATTCTATCAGGTATAACAAAATCAAACCAAAAACAAAACAGAATAAAACCAATCAAGACAGAATATTGAATAAAGCAAAACAATCATAATGAAGCAAAACAGTAAGAACAATATTGGGTTTCAAAGACAAGATAGAAAGAGCTCCCCCATATTTGCTATGTTGCATACTGTCATCCCCCCAAGAGATGCTCAGACAGCTGGCTCCAGGTCAGCGTAACCAACCCAACAATACAAGCATTCAGTTGCTTTATGGACCTTAGTTGCTATCAACTCAGCCTGTTCTCCAAACCAGCAGGTTAGCCAGGCATAGTGGCTCACGCCTATAATCCCAGCACTCAGGAGGCTGAGGCAGGAGGATCGTTGCGAATTCGAGACCAGCCTGGGCTACAAAGTGAGCTCAAGGCCTGCCCGAACTGCACAGCAAGACCCTGTCTCAAAAAAGACAAAAACAAGCAAACAAACAGGTTGCTTGGGGGTGGGGGCTGATTCTCAGCCTGTGTGCCTGTTGGCTCACGGGAGGTGCTGACTTTTTTCTTCCTAGAAGCTACACCGCTTGCAATTCTTACCAGAAAGCCTGGCTGGTTGGCTTCTTGTTGGATCCTCCTAGTCCCAGCTTGGCAGATTCTCAGGTTGACCTCATATTATGTAAATCCTTTTTCTAGATATTCTATAGTAACTGGTTATGTTGGGGGGTTTTGTTTGTTTGATTGGTTGTTGGGTTTTTTTTTGTTGTTGTTGTTGCTGTTAATTGGTTTTGTTGTTACAGGTGAACACATCCTAACTAGTTCACAAACTCTAGTGATAGTTTTCAGATTTATATTAAAATGATCCTTGTATTCATTTTCTTATATCTTGTTACAATCTGTAGGACAGTGATTACATTTTGTTGAATAAAACATACATTTACAAAAATACATAAAGTTCAAGTTCTAGCTTGATAAATGTTTGTTAAGTAGCAGCAAACCCAAGACACAACAGCACCGCACCCAGCAACCATTTCTCTACCTGCCTCTGTTAGTTGCCATCCCCTGTCGAGGATAAGCACGATCCTTCTGATAAAAATAGATCAGGCAAATGGAACCACACAGCACATGGTCTGTTTGACTTCTTTTTGTTGTTTTATGTCTGTGAGCTTCATCCCATTTGCTGTATGAGCCAGTACTTTGTTTATTCTCCTTGAGATAGAGTACTGCATCATAGAAATATCCTGCACGTTATATATTTGGGCTATTGTTGATGGACTATTTGTTTGAGTTCATGACTATTACAAATGATACTACTGAGAACATTCTTATACATTGTTTTGCTGAGTATATGTGCACACATGTAGAGACTAGACTGATGGGTTATAAGATAGGTCCATAATCACTTTTGTCATGTTTATTGCCAAATGGTTTTTAAGGCACTTTCTTTTCATTCATCTGTGTTTCCTTACTCTCACACTCACATTCCTTGCTGTCTGCTTCCTCTCCACTCAGAAAACTGACTTCGGTCATAATGGGTACATAACAAATAATCATAATATTATCACATGTATACATTTATAATTATATGTACATGTGCTTACATGCATACATGTATACACACTGTTGTATTTGTACCTTGTGCATGCATATGTATATAAAATTTCCATGCTGAACAGAAATATATTGACAACCCTAGCAAGCCAGGTATGCTGGAGTCTGAAAAGGTGTGAGTTTGCCTGGGTGTTGGCCAGGGACCCTATTCCTATCTGAAATTTGGTTCAACAGTGGATTCATTTACAAAAGCCTTCCAATTGCCTTTGTTCTGAATTCTGAAACCTCTGTAACTTACAGCTCTCTTATGGTATTTGACAAAAATAAGCAGATATTTGTAAGGATGAGGCATTAATGAATAAAGGGGTACTCTCCTGTAGTGGTGGAGAGGGAGAAAGATGAGCCATGTTATTCTGCTTGGAGCAGATGACAAGATTTCATTGAGAGAACAGTACAGTAACAGCTGCCAGGCCAAGGGCTGAGATGCGGTATTGATTTTCTTAGAATCATTTTTGTTTTTAATAAACTACCTCCTTCTGCATGCTTTCCCCCTATTCGACCTTTGGAAAGAACTTGAGTTGTAAAGTGATATTAACACAGGTGTTCTGTGAACTGTCTTGAAAAACCAAGAACCACTTTTTAAGAATTTCTATAAAAAGAAAACATTATCATTTTGGTCTTCTTTTTGAATTGGAGGAGGACTCTAGAATATGCACTGAAATTTACTTCCATTTTGATTGGCCTTGTGAGAGAGTTCTTTAGAAGTAACTCCCAATAGATGCTAAATCTTTGATATTAAATTGTTTATATCCAGGAACTCCATGTGCTTGTGGAAGGGTCCATGACTTTAGCCAACCACCTGTCTATTCCTAGCTTCTAATGAAAAAGGAAAAAACAAACTCAGTGATTATAATCCAAGGTCTCTGAAAGAAATACGTGTGTGTGTGTGTGTGTGTGTGTGTGTGTGTGTGTTAGCAGTGTATCTTTTATCATGAAGACTATAGATGACTATCATTTAGTTTTCAAAATACAGGTCTTTAAATCAGGTAATTGGAAAAAGTAGACTCAGTAGAGTCACACATGAAGGACACTACAGGACTTATAACAAACTAACTTCAAGGGCTGTGGATTTAGCTCAGCGGCATAAGCACCTGCCTTGCAAGCAGGCGGTCATGAGTTCGATCCCTGGTACCAATAAAAATGAAAAAGACAAAAAAAGAAAAAAACATACTAACTTCATAATTTTGAAACCAAACCAGCAGTAATTTATAATTTAAAGAAAAGCATGACAACTATTGGAAACCCTGAGCAACTTCTGACAGCACTAAGATGGACACTGATGATAGTTGTTCTTTTCCAAAGCTGTAGGATCAAAGACTCCAGTGAACTCTGGAATGTGCTCATGTAAGTTAATGGACAGGAAATTCTCCAGTCCTTGATAATCTCCACAGGAGCTTGCTAGTACGAACCCCCTAGTCACATAGAAGAAGATGGTCTTTGGGTTTGCTCATCCTTTGCCCTGAAAACCCAAGAAATAGTCATATTAGTTCCAGATTCACTAGAGAAGCTTCGAAGTTCAACAGTGGGACACTGAGAATCATAGTTCTACACTGACAGAGTGAGATAGGAGCAGAGGTTCCTGTGTTCTTCTGTAGATGTGTTTATGTCTTCCTGCAGGACTGGGGCTACACAGGGTGAGTTAAAAGGGCACATCCTAGAGGAGCACCCACAGAGTGAAGTGCTAGCGCTGGCTGTCGGAGCACAGAGTATTTGCAGATGAATGTGCTTGACTGAGATTAAGATGTGGGGGGATCAATTACCATGCATGCCAGGGTGAGTGTGAGGGTGTGTGTGCGTGTATGCATGTGTGCACGTGCATGTGTGTGTAGG